GTTTCGAACTCCTGAGCTCAAACAATCCTCCCGCCTCGGCCTCCCAGAGTGCTAGGATTACAGGCGTGAGCCACCGCGCCCGACCAGGAGACATGTTTTAAAGCAAATCATTTCAATGACTATTCTTTGTGCAGTCGAAATTCTTTCAAGGCATGTTCCAAGGTTTTATGAGACAGGAGCAACAGAATGGGAAAGTAATAGAGAGGAAGCAAGTGATTTACAGGATCTTTCAAAGATTTTATTTATATTTAGGGTTTCCTCTCAAGTTTCAGGTTGAGTGTTTTCAGATTTTAAAACTTAAGAAGAAAAACCTCACACTGTAATCACAGTTCCTTGCTTCAATAAAATTGGCTGTGCATTGGGGCTTTAATCAAATATCTAAGATACCACTGGCTCACTTTTTCCTCCCTGAGGGAAATGGCTAAATTACAGTTACATCCAGTCAAGGTGGCTGCTTCCTTGGCAAGGGATATGGAGAACATATAGAGATCCAAGGAAAGAGTTATATCTGGTAGTGGGTATAGAAGTAATTGAATGGTAACTTCTGCTTTCAGCACCTGGGGGCTTCTCCACAACTGCTCTGTAGGATGCCTGTGGGAACCTACTCGGTCATCCTAAGACATCTGCCTAAGACATTCATTAGCCCCCATGACACGTACATCCCTTAAAAAGCCGTAAGCATCCAAGTCATGTTTGGTAGGTTTTATTGCACAATTCCAAGGAGTGCCGTTTACACGATGATGTGAATGTACCTCCTTGGAAGGATACCCTGGCAGCCCTGAGCCAAGTGCAGTAAGTAACTCCTTTAACTTAGGTTTTGTCCTGGAGAGATCACAGAATATTCACATCATGATGATGACGATGATGAAGCTAAACTAGAGACGATGGCCAAAATTTGTGAATACCTGCAATATGCTGAGTACTCTATCCACATTATAATTTATAATTTCCTTACCAGATGGGGAAAAAAAACAATAAATATCAAAGACCTTAAGGGACCTCTGCTGATAACCACTACTGGGGGCAAATGGAATGGGGTTAAATTATTAGAGACAGTTTCGCTGGATTTTTTTCTCAAAAAGGGACTATGGTATTATGCATAGAAAAAATACGCAAGTAAATATGATAACCTAATCTAGCGTTAACTTTTTGATTTTGGAATTTCCTCTATTTCTCATTTGTGGATTTATAACCCTATCAGGGTGAAGACGTAGGGAGAAGAATAGTTTTTCTCTTGTAAGTTTTGAAGATTTAAGATATTTACCCATAAACAATAGTTTTTGGGGGACATTTGAATAAACAAATGCAAATCAAAATACTAAAACTAGTACAGCAATTTTGTAAACAACCCTCCAAATCATACAGCAATTCGAATGATGGCAAGCTAAGTTAATCATAATGAATGCAAGTTATTTTTAAACTCAATGGTTACAAAGAATCCTTGACAATAACAATTTCTGCATTTGGTGAAACTCAGTGGCCACTAAGATTATCTTCACCTAATAATCATCTCTCTAGAAATTTATGTAAGATTATTTCCAACCTGATAGAACGTAGGCATCAGTTTTTGATTTTTGGTCCCCATCTCCACCCCTAATCTGCAAAATTCTCCACGGGTAAGTTCTATATACGAAAAGAGCCTTTGTTTTCCACTGCTTTTATCCTTTAACTAAAACTAACTTTTAATTTGGTTTTTAAAAAAAAATCCTCATAATGTGATATTTTAAAATACTTCCTTTTAAATGAAAAATATTCAATTACCTTTGTTGAAATCTTGTCTCTTCATCACTCTCACATTCTTATATAGAGACATTATATAATTCATCAAGAGAGATCATTTTATTTAAATATTGAGAATAATATAAAATGGAATTATTTAATACAATGAAAAATATTGGTTGGCTACCTTAATGATAGTGATTATGAATTCTATTCCTGAAATAATGGTGTCTATTTTTAACAGCAAAAGAAAAAACATTTTACCAATGCTTCCAGGCAAAAACTTATGTTAACATTGGATCATTATCTAAGGTCCCGGGACCTGAATAATATATTCCTATATTACTCTGCAGAAGCAATCCCATTTGAAGGGATAATTGTTCACTATAAAATCTGGATCTCAGTCTGTACATTTACAGAGGAATAACTTTTTCAAGTGTCACTCTGAGTTCTAACGGGCAAATTAATAAAGAAACAAGAGTTCAGACGAAACCTTCAGTCTCCTCAGGCATGGGAGGAAGTTAGAATCAGTTTTTATATTTTTGCCACATTCCAGTTGAATCCATCCTTGCTGAATGCAAGCATTCAACCTTCTCTGGCATAAATACATATATACAAGTGATGATAAGAGGCTACACTGGTGTTTCAAGAATAAACAACGAGAAGTTCACTTCTAAGTTTTACTCAAATGCTTTGAACACTACAGCCTGCCTTTTTCTTGGCAAAGAAGTAGATGCATTGTTTTGCTCATCACACACTGGGAGAAAAGAGCACTTAGACGTTAGAACTTTTGCTTTGAGAAGTCAGTCTAGTTTCCCAAGCATAATGACCCTATTTTTAATCCAGGGCTGCTGAGACAGTGTCTTACTTAGACGGGGGAGCGTCTCATGAAGTATGCAGCAGCCAGGAACGAGAGAGGCTTGCCTAAACCCGAGACCTGAAAAGCATCCCCGTGGTGAGTCAGGAGCAAAGCTCAGGAGAAGGGAAGCGCAAAGACTTACCTGCAATACTTTGGTCAGGTTGTTAAACAGAGCTTGGCCAGCACTCACTTTGTATTTTACGCCTCTGACTGTGCCATTTTTGCTTAAAATGTTGACTCTTCTCGTACCAAAAGCTTTCTCACTGGCAGCCCTTGCTAACACCAGCAGGTTATCCTGGTCATTCTCGTGCTCGTCGCCTTCCGACCCTAGGTGGCCATTTGGCTGTCCGTCGGAGTCACTGAGCCCATCTATGCCACAGATACTGGCACATTCGGAATCCAGAGAGCCCGGCGGCTGCCCGTCCTCGTACACCTCCTTCAGAACTCGCCCACTGTGAGACGACGCGATCCGAAACCGGACTCTCCTCGGCCTGTCCCTTTCTGGTTTCATCTCTCTTTTCAGCATGGTCACCGCCACCCACGTGCAGGGCTCACAGCATTCCGGATCTGCTGCCACTGCGCCCGTCCACGCAGCAATAGCAGAGCCAATGCTAGCAACGGCAGCACGCCTGTGAAACTGGCATCGAGAGGAAAGAAGATTCCCGAGGACTTAACGGTGCATCTGGGTTATCAATAATGGATGTGTGTGTGTGTGCTATGGTTACCTTTAAACTAAAACCTGCAAAATGATCTTGGCCTTTAAATATTAAACGGCCACGGTGGACTCTCTAACAGGACAAGTGCAAGACAGTGGCATGCAACGAAACAGAAAACAAATATGGGGCAAGAAAATAAAAGACAGACTCGGAAGCCAACGGTGAGTGTTGAAAAGGCCAGCGGACACGTCTCTGTGATTCCTCGTCCAGCGTAGAGGTCAGAGATGCCACGTGCAATCAAGTGTGTAGGACAGTAGGCGTCAAACTCTTCTCACAGTGCTCATTTCTTCCTTATCTCTCACCTACAATCTTTCAAAAGGGCAGTGAACATGGCACACGGCTGCATCGAGCTGTCAATATTAGTTCTCATCAAATCATTGATTAGACTTCATCTACGTTGTATAAGACAAATTTAAACTTTCATCTTCATGTTTAAGTAATTTTGCTAAAGAATAGCTTTTTAAGAGACTCTGAAAAGAGAGAATTTTGCTTTGTTGCTTTCCCCTTTCTGCTGGTAAAATATTGTTCCCTTTGACACAGTGAAGGTTTTGGAAAGAAAACACATGGAACAGGGAATAAAGGATGGAAAATCCTCCAGCCCTGCCAGATCAGCCAAAGTAATCCAGCTGATCAGCATTGATAAACATCATTTCCAAACCATCCACGCGTAGAGAAGGGTCCTCCTGGTGCTGTGCTCGGTGTATGTTCTGTCACTTTGGCAAGCACCCGAGGAACCTCGTAAGATAAAGGTCGTATTGAGATGTGTAGGGTAATGAGTGCCCCAAGCTGTCTGCAGTTCCAGAGGGAGGAAAAGCAGCTGGCTCACACATTGCACTTCAAGTTTGTAATGCTTATAGCTTTTATCTGATTATAAACTTAATTTATGTTTATTTTAGAGCATTTCAAAAACACCTAATAGCACAAAGTTGAAAATCGAAGTCATTAATATTCTCACCAGAGACATTAATAATCTTGTGCATTTGCTTCCACTGTGCTTGGCAGAGATGCTCCAATGCTCACAAAACTATAACACGTCAACCAGCTTTTTGCTTTTAAGGGGAAAGGGAACAAGCGTGTAACTTTTGCCAGCGGGATGTGAGTCATTTACGGACCAAGACGACAGACAGACAGAGTTCCGCACGCGCTATTTCTCTTCCTTCCCCATCTGCCAGCTAGAGGACCCCAGAGCAACCTTGAAGCAACATACTGGGCTTGTCAGAGTCATAGTGAAATTCCCAACCACCACCACCACCCTGCACTGGATCATGATGTGAGCAAAAAATAAGCCTTTGTCATATTAAGCAACAGAGACTGAAATTTAGACGTCATTTTGTTAGAGCAGCTATCAGTACCAAATCCGACTCATATGCTCTCATATAAAAGCACATTCAATCTATTTAGTGTCTTGCTTTTTTTCATTCAACATTATATAGTGAGCCATTTTCTATATCATTATTTCTGAAAAACATAAATTTAATGTGTGCATTTAAAAATTCTCCTGATAGTCACACCATATTTTATCTTATTCTCTCTGGATTGTTAGATTTTTATGTTGCTTAAAATAGTTAGTAAAATAATGCTATATTTAATGTTCTTGCTCAAAAATCAGTATACATATATCAGATTGGTTCTTCAGCATAAATTCCTTTGAGTAAAATTGATGAGGTAATAATTTTTAAAAATGTAAAGTTCCTTATACAAACTGCCATTTGCTTTTGAGACAAGTTGTATACTTTACACTTCTGCTGGTATAAGAGTGAGGACTGTTTCACTGCACTCTTGCCAATGCCAACACTGAATACAGACATTCCTTGGAGATGTTGCATGTTCCGTTCTGGACCACCCAATAAAGTGAATATCACACCAAAGTGAGTTGCATGAATTGTTTGGTTTTCTAGTGCATATAAAAGTTATGCACGTACTATACTGAAGTCTATTAAGTGCAATAGCATAATGTCTAAAAAAAAACAGGGTGCATACTATAACTAAAATATACTTTATTGCTAAAAAATACTAACAATCTTCTGAGCCTTCAGTGAGTCATAATCTTTCTGCCAGGGGAGAGTCTTGCCTTGATATTGGTGGCTGCTGACTGATCGGGGTGGTGGTCGTTGAAGGTTGAGGTGGTTGTGGCAATTTCTTAAAATAAGACAACAATGAAGTTTGCCTTATCAATTGATTCTTCCTTTCCTGAAAGATTTCTCGGTAGCATATGATGCTGTTTCATAGCACTTGACGTACAGTAGAACTTCTTTAAAAATTGAAGTCTGTTCTCTCAAACCCTGCTACTGCTTTATCAACGAAGTTGATTTAGTATTCTAAAGTTTTCATTGTCATTTCAGTAATGTTCTCAGCATCTTCACCTGGATTAGATTCCGTCTCAAGAAACCGCTTTCTTTGCTCATCCCTAAGAAGCAACAACTTATCTGTTCGGGTTTTATCATGAGATTGCAGCAATTCAGTCTCAACTTCAGGCTCCACTTCTGATTCTAGTTCTCTTGCTATTTCCAACACATCTGCAGTTATTTCCTCCACCAAAGTCTTGAACCCCTCAGGTCTTCCGTGAGGTTTGCAATCGACTTCTTCCAAACTCCTGTTAATGTTGATATTTTGACCTCCTTCCATAAACCACCAATGTTCTTACTGGCAGGAGTGCTTGGAGATAATTTCTCAGAGGCAGCAGCATAGCAAAAATCCTGAAGCAGAAAGCCCGTAGGTTTGTTCGAAAATGAACAAAAGGCAAGGTGGCTGCAAACAAGTACGACTCCCATCCTACAAAGCCCTTCTCAAAAGAGGACAAGACCAGCAAGACTTTTCCTTCCTAACCTAATCCTTAATTTATGTAATCCCTCATAACATGAAACAGAAATCCTATAAGTCCTATTACCAATACAGAAATATTTCAAGTATTCATAGGATTGACATCAGTGGGTATCTATTTATTTAAAACAATA